CATGGGAGGTGGGCCGCAGGAGAGAGGTGAGGCCGGTGGCCAGGCCAGTTGGGTAGAGACCGCAGGGGGTCATCTGACCGGAGGTGGAAGGGAACAAGGTCGGCCAGTCCTGGGGTGGGGTGAAGGGGGTAGGGCTAGCCATTCTGTGACCTGTGGCATGTGACCAGCGATGGTTGGAGATTTGGCCAAATGGGTAGAGAAGGGTGGAGTCAGCAGAAGGACTGAGACCAGGCCACAGTGGCAGGATGGGGCCGTGACGGGGGCAGGGCCGAGCAGGTGGGGTGGTGGTAGCGACAGGTGGAGTGAGGTAAAGCTACGTTGTAAGGGCAAGGTCAGCTCGCCCTGGCATCTGGAGAGACCCGCCCTGGGCAGGGGTGCGCCTGGTGGGGGGGGCATGGCCACGTGGGTCAGGGGATGGGCCCACTGGGCATGTGGAGGCTGTGACCTGGTCGAGGGGGTGGGGGGGCAACCTGAGAGCCTGGGCGCATTCACCTGGGGTTGAGTTGAGTCAGGTTTGATGGGGACGGGGGTGGGGGTGGACGGTTGGACAGCCCCTCCCAGCTCCTGCCCCCTGCAGGGTTCCCCCATCAGGCCTGGCTCGGCTGATCGTGGGGAGGACGGGCTGGCTCCCCCACCACGCACGATGCTGGCGTTTGCCCAGAAGTATTTCCGAGACCCTCAGAGGAGACCCCAGTGAGTGATGACCCCACCCCAGTCCCCACACAGAGGAGTTCCTCCTGGGGCTTCTTGCCGTGTCCAAGGGCAAGGCCTTCCTCTGTGAGGGGGAGAAACCTCAGGCGTGAGGCCACCTGCAGCCGTGGTGGGAGCCTGGCGGGGTGGGGGTGGGGCCGCAGGCTGCGCCAATGGTCTGCCCCTCTGCTTCCTGTCCTAGGGACGGCCTCAGGCTCAAATCCAAGGAGAGCCGGGAGTCCAGAACCTTGGAGGACATGCTTTGCTTCACCAAGGTGCCAGCCCTAGGCCTCAGTTTCCCCATCTGTAAAATGGTGGTGCAGGCCTTGGAGCAAACGGCCTTGTCCTCAGAGTGACCCCCACCCTCAGCACCTGAGGGCCTGCGAGCACCTGTCTCCCTGTCCACCTGGCTCCCTTTGCATGACCTGGGCCCCCCTGTCTGAGACGGGACATGCCATGCGGCCCCCTCTGTTCGGCCTGCCCCCCATCCTGACGCACCTCCTCCCTGACAGAGCCCGCTCCAGGAATCCCTCATCGAGCTCAGCGACGCCAGCCTCAGCAAGATGGCGACCGACATGTTCCTAGGTGTGGGGTGGGCTTGACCCTGGGCCGGGGGCCAGCACCACCTGCCCCTGCTCATCACCGCACCCCTGCTCCTCAGACCCTCCCCCCCCAGCCAGACATGGGGCTCCTCTAAGAAAGAGAAGCCCCAGCGACCCCTGGCCACAGCCTCTCAGAGAGGGGCCTCCTGGGGTCCCCAAGGGCGGGCAGCTCGGGTCTGGGGCTGAGTGGGGTGTTCCCTGCAGCCGTGATGCGGTTCATGGGGGACGCCCCGCTGAAGGGCCAGCGCGAACGGGATGTGCTCTGCACCCTCCTGAAGGTCAGTTCGCCCACTTTGCCGTGCGCTCTCTCCTGGTCTGTGACTCGGTTTCCCCATCAGCAACCAGAGTTGCAGGACTTTGGGGTGGGCAGCTTCTAGTGTGGCCCAAGGAGGAGTGCATCCGCCGGAGGGAGGGGCTGGAGAGGGACGCGGGGCCTACCTCACACGCCGCTCTGTTCTGTGCCGGCCTGTGGGTGACCTGCCCGCCCTGCAGCTGTGCACCGAGCAGGAGGCCCTGCGGGACGAGTGCTACTGCCAGGTGGTGAAGCAGCTCACAGACCGCGCCAGCAGCGACCAGTGCGTGA